GTCTGCTCGCATCTCCTCCAATGCAGTCACCTCTGGCCATCGACGAGACTCGGTACCACATTATGCACGTTTGGCTTCTATCGATTGGAGTTGACTTTAACCAGTTTAACATTTTGACACTGGTTGCAGTTGAATTTTATATACCCACCGCCAAAAGAAACGCAAACCATAGAAACATATAGAGAAGTATGTACGTTATGAAGGGATGCTTCCAATGTGTACCACTGAATGATAAAACTGACCGCCCCCCAGGTCTAGTGGCAGAGCATCCGCCCGGTGAGCGGAAAGTCAGGGGTTCGATCCCCGGCCGCGTCATACCAAAAGACGTTTAAAGAGACGTTGTCGGTGAGTATATATTACCGTGCTGTTCCGTACAGAATGGTTTCTCAATAACATCTTCGATCTTGACAATCCGTAGTTTTATGTCACAAACAGTTAAATGCTCAAAGAGTATACTTTCGCATTGGTCGCGTAATATTGTACAAGGCGTTTTATTGGCTAGAATCTGATTCTAAGGTTAATTTTGATTGGTTGACGATGGTTTGACGAATGGGTTATTTGTCCATAGCTCATCCTGTCAGCATGTTTTTGTTCCGCCCAAAGTCAGTTCCGACCCTGAAGAAATATCAGTATTAAATATAAATTGCAGTGAAAATGTTCCCACTCTGTGGTGAAAAGTTCTGGTTGACAGGAACAAATGTTTGGGTGTGTTTATCATCGATGTTCCTGTATATTGTTAATGTGCAACATGGAAAACAGGGAAACTATGACATTAAATCTTCATACAAATAGACAAAATCTAAATGAAAAACAAAAGATTATAAAAAATATAAAGTGATAAAAGCGTCCCTCGCGCCAAAGACCGTGGTTCCATTCCACAACTCATTTCTTGCGTCCCTCGACAAGATGAGGCGAGGTGAACGGATGGTCAGGCTCGCCGACTTGTTTGATGCAGTCATCGTATCCCAATTACGTGGATCGATGCTCATGATGTCAATCACTGGATTGACTGGTCTTGACTCGATTATTTATAGACCGCCGTTATATAACTGGAGTATTGTTCAGTGCAGCGTTAAACAAACAAAACACCACACCCACACCATCGTGTCCAGTTTGTGTCCAAGGACCAGTTTACAAGATCACCAAGGCCGTCTGTTAACGATACATTCATCTGTTCAAGGGGCGGTCGGGTAGCCTAGTGGTTAAAGCGTTAGCTCGTCACGCCGAAGACCCGGGATCGATTCCCGACATGGGTACAATGTGTGAAGCCCATTTCTGGTGTCCCCCGCCGTGATATTGCTGGAATATTGCTAAAAGCGACGTAAAACCTCACTCACTCACTCATCTGTTCAATGACTGCCTTCACGGACCTATACATCGCATGTGTATGTAATACAACTACAATTACGTTTTTCTTGTATAAAAACATCTGATCTGTTAAATAATCTTTGATGTGTACGTGTCAGCTTGACGTTTAGCCACAGTAGGAGTTCCACCACTTCCCGCGACTTGCAATGCACTGGGAGACAGCCGTGTGTGACTATCGGAGATTTGGTGGCCCAGGCAGTGACACACACCTGGCGCAGGTGCTATACGTGTGGGATACAGGAAGAACGTTCTCACTGCGCAGTGGTTATGTAATGAACATACGACCGACGCGGAAACTATTGCACGGTAATTAGTTTACAGGTTATCGTGATGGTATAAAAGTACACCTTGCACACATATTGAGTGGAGATTTCCTCGTGTATGATGCACAGGATTTCCTTGACATGAATTGATTTAGCAAGTTTTTTAACTTGTCTGTGTTTATCTTGAGTGGTTTGATTCTGCAGCTGTGTAAGATTTACTATACATCTTTACTCCTGGTTGATGTCTCCCCAGCAGCCCAGGTTGTATTCCCGTTTGGATTCCTGGGCAAAAACAAATGTCCCCAGTCCTTCAAGGTTGTATTCCCGTAAAGTGTCCTGGGCCAAATGTCTTCCAAGTCCTTCAAGGTTGTATTCCCGTTAGGTGTCCTTGGCCAAATGTCTCCCCAGTCCTTCAAGGTTGTATTCCCGTTAGGTGTCCTGGGCCAAATGTCTCCCCACTACCTCAATGTTTATTCCCGTTAGGAGTCCTGGGCCAAATGTCTCCCCAGTCCTTCAAGGTTGTATTCCTGTTAGGAGTCCTGGGCAAATATGTCCCCAGTCCTTCAATGCTAAATTCCCATGGAACTTCTGAACCAAAAATGACCCCAGGACATTCATCTAGAAGGTTGTATTCCAGTTTGAATTCGTATTCAGACTGTATTCCCGTGGGTATTCTTGGGCAGAGTATGTCCCCAGTACCCAAGGGCGTGGATACCGAGACTCAATATGACCTCCGTACCTCAGTTATATTCCCAGGATACCGGGACACAATATGACCTCCGTACCTCAGTTATATTCCCAGGATACCGGGCACAGTATGACCTACGTACCTCAGTTATATTCCCAGGATACCTGGACTCAATATGACCTCCGTACCTCAGTTATATTCCCAGGATACCGGGCACAATATGACCTCAGTACCTCAGAGCTGAAATTTATGAGGATACCGGGACACAATATGACCTCCGTACCTCAGTTATATTCCCAGGATACCGGGACACAATAAGACCTCAGTACCTCAGTTATATTCCCAGGATACCGGGACACAATAAGACCTCAGTACCTCAGTTATATTCCCAGGATACCGGGACACAATAAGACCTCAGTACCTCAGTTATATTCCCAGGACACCGGGACACAATAAGACCTCAGTACCTCAAGGCTGTAATTCCGCGAGGATACCGGGGCACAATATGACCTAAGTGCCCAAGGCTTGTCGCAAAAGCCGACTAATCATGATCATCAGTTACAACGTGGCCCTAACGGGATGCGGTCAACCACGTTCTAAGTTCGATTACAAACAGTCCGCCGATATCTATAGCTAGACTATTGGTAACAGGAACATGAAAATTACACTCACTCGCTACCTGTCGTGTTTTTGGTGTAATGGGCTGGTTATGTACCTTGTTGTTGGGTCACATAAAATTCACAAGTGAATCTACAGACAAAATTATCATTGAATTAATGCAACAGGATGTATGTAACGGTCAGTGTTGCATGTGGAGTGTTGAAACAGCATCTGAAACCATTTCCGAGTAATTGAGGTCACCGTGACATACTATATGTGATATATATATATATATATCTTTTATACTTCCTATTTCAACGTTTTATTATCAGCTGCTTGTAAACACTGTTGTTGGATGTCTGTAGTATGGATACCCATCGTCCCAGCCGCCTCACTTCGCAGCATACCATCCTCGATTATCTAGGGTATTTATCTCAATTCTATTATGATCATTATGTAGCATAATGGAGTAGAGACGCTGGATAATCAATAATTAAGTCCCATGATCATAATTGTCAGAATTATTTCTAGGTTCGGATAACAAATGTCCCACTCCCCTTGGGGGCTTACCGAGCTGTACCCGACCGGGGGAGAATAGGTCTTCAGCAACCCATGCTTTCTGTATAAGAGGCGACTATGCTTTTCGTATGAGGAGACTAACGGGATGGGTGGTCAGACTCGATGACTTGGTTGATGCATGTCATCGTATCCCAGTTGCGTAGATCGATGCCCATGATGTCAATCATTGGATTGTCTTGTCCAGACTCGAATATTTACGGACCGCCGTTGTATAGCTGGAGTATTGCTGAGTGTGGCGTTAAACGACAAACAAACAAACAAATGACCAGAGACCATTCACCGGAATATGGTCTCTGTCTATACAATATATGGACTCGTGAAGATCCGGGTTAGAATTGATCTTCGTCAGAGGCGACTAACGGGATCGGGTGGTCGAGCTCGCTGACTTGGTTAATGTCATTTTGTGTCTCCTCCTGACAGTCAATAATACAACTTGAAGTTCAAATATATAATTTGCTTGGGGTGTTTCAGTGCGGATTGTGGCGTCGGATATGGTGAGCGCCAGGCAGGGTAACAACAATCTTTTAACGTGTTTTCGTATGATACGGTCCGGGATCGATCCACCGACCTTCCGCCCTCGGGGCAGTTGCTGTATCCACTAGATCACAGAGGCGGTCCCATACCAATAACCTACTCAGTGTGAATATTATTTTTTGATCAACCGCATTAATCGTCTAACTGCTTTAGATTGATATTTTAGTGAAAAACCGTTCTTGACTTAACGAAGGTCTCAGTAACCCATATTTCTTCACCTCAATGAGTCAGCTATGTTCAGTTTTGAATCACGCTTTCTTAACGAGTACTGCGTTTCACCATATGATCATGTTTGCACATGCAGATGTAGCTTTGAGATCAGTTCTTAAAATAGCCATTACTCCGCGAATCTACCATGTGCTTGGCATGCACGCTGATGTGTGGTAAGTCAAAGATCAATAGTCAGACGTATGGAGTTACCTCCCTTGTTGGTTAAAGCGCACTTTTACTCATCACAATATTAGAACTTGAAACAACAGAGAGCATTATGTCACCAGCTACCATTTTGTTTAAAAAAAACATTGATTTTTAATCACTTTCAATTTAAACGAGTTTGGACGATTTGAAATGTAATTAACTCAAATAATTATATTTTTTAATTACGACCATTACATATGAGAAGAAAGGCATTTTCAATCTAATGATAATTACTGATGAAGGGGATCTAAGAGGGTAGCACAGACTGCATCTCACAGGCAGCTGCTGATAAGGAGCTCAAAGGGATCGGGAAAACCGGTCGAATTATATATACTGGGCTCTGTCTCTCCGAATCAAAGGCACTGCGTTCCAGTGATCACTGTTTTTTTAGATCTTCGTGCAAATAGAGCACATCTAGCTCAACTGGTTCTTTCTAGCCGAACCTGAAATAGGTCAAACCTGCAAGGATTATGCTGTACCATACACATATAAAATGTTTTGTATGTTATGAATTGAAGGTAGGTAGCTTGGAACAGGGTGGGGAGATTGGATCACGGTGGGGAGCTTGGGTCGGGGTGGGGAGATTGGATCTTGGTGGGGAGCTTGGGTCGGGGTGGATCGGGGTGGGGAGCTTGGATCACGGTGGGGAGCTTGGGTCGGGAGGGGGAGCTTGGATCGGGGTGGGGAGCTTGGATCGGGGTGGGGAGCTTGGAACAGGGGTTCTCGGGGTGGGAGCTTGGATCGGGGTGGGGAGCTTGGAACAGGGGTTCTCGGGGTGGGAGCTTGGATCGGGGTGGGGAGCTTGGAACAGGGGTTCTCGGGGTGGGAGCTTGGATCGGTGTGGGGAGCTTGGAACAGGGGTTCTCGGGGTGGGAGCTTGGATCGGGGTGGGGAGCTTGGAACAGGGGTTCTCTGGGTGGGGAGCTTGGATCGGGGTGGGGAGCTTGGAACAGGGGTTCTCTGGGTGGGGAGCTTGGAACAGGGGTTCTCTGGGTGGGGAGCTTGGAACAGGGGTTCTCGGGGTGGGAGCTTGGATCGGGGTGGGGAGCTTGGAACAGGGGTTCTCGGGGTGGGGAGAGGTGGATCTGAGGGGGTCCCGAGTCTGCGTTAGGGTGTCTCTTAGTGAAATCTCAGTATCCAAATAGTTCATGTACTGTGAAAGTATTTGTAGAATGACATATTGAGACAGTAAGTTCCTAATTGAACTGGGGTCAAATGCGTTCCATATTCCAACGTTCCAACTATTCTAAGACCGCGCACAACCGTAGGAATATAGAGATGTGTACACTATCCAAATATATTCCATTAAAAAAACTATGACATTCTTCAGCTTCGTAAAAACAACAACGGTTTAGGATGCATTCACGCCCTACACATCTCTATTCCAATGATGTACATTTCAAGGAGTGGCATTAAAAGAACATATTTATTAAACGTGCACACACATTATTAGTGAATATTCCAAATATCTAGAGCAGAGAAGAGAGGCGCCTTTTAATGCACCACAGAACTTGGCACATGATTTTATAAAATGACAAATGATAAAACTAACACCTCCTATTTGATAAGTCCATCTGGAAACAATCTGCTTTTTGTTCCTAACTGAAAAAAACGAAACACTTGTTATTATCACCGTGTCGTTTTATATACCTTATAGTGGCTGTTTAACGCGTAGACTTGTCAGATAGAAAGCCGTGTTTACGTTTCTAATGTTGCATACCACGTTAATCTGTGTAGCATGGAGAGGACAGGAGCGTGGCATGTAGTGATATAACAGACTAGCAGTGTAATAATTGAATGTTTCTCAGCAGGTGGGGCCTTTAAAATAATAAACGTTTCCGACACACGATACATGCCCGAAGGACCCACCAGAGTCGCTGGGGAGGCGATTTGTAGTGCTCAGATATCCATTACAGGGTGAATACGCCCATGTTGTTGTGGAATTCGGTCAGTACTGTTGGGTGGTGGGGCGAGGCTGGTGAGTGGGGTGATGGCGAACTTGTGGGGTAGACTAACATTTTGTTAATGAAATCTTATATTACACAATATCCTTCTTGACTCTAAAATAAAAATAAAAACTCCCTATGCTGATTTCATAGAATAGAGCTAGCTAGAGCTGGCGAGACTTGCTTTTGTATGCGTTCCTAGATTATTATTTTTTTCATAAAATAAATATGTTCCACAGTCATGGCGCAGGACTAGGGTGGGGGTAGTGGTGCTGGTGCCGGTGTTCTTGGAGAGGGGTAGCTGGAGAGTGATGGATGATTGTGGGTGGGTGAAGAATTAGTTGAGACGGATGGTGTGGGTGGGTGAAGAATTAGTTGAGACGGATTGTGAGGGTGGGGTGAAGAATTAGTTGAGACGGATGGTGTGGATGGGTGAAGAATTAGTTGAGACGGATGGTGTGGGTGGGTGAAGAATTAGTTGAGACGGATTGTGAGGGTGGGGTGAAGAAATAGTTGAGAAGGATGGTGTGGGTGGAGAAGAAATAGTTGAGAAGGATGGTGTGGGTGGAGAAGAATAGTTGAGAAGGATGGTGTGGGTGGGAGAAGAATAGTTGAGAGGGATGGTGTGGGTGGGTGAAGAATAAGTTGAGAAGGATAGTGTGGGTGGGTGAAGAATTAGTTGAGACGGATGGTGTGGGTGGGTGAAGAATAAGTTGAGAAGGATGGTGAGGGTGGGGTGAAGAAATAGTTGAGACGGATGGTGTGGGTGGAGAAGAATAGTTGAGAAGGATGGTGTGGGTGGAAGAAGAATAGTTGAGAAGGATGGTGTGGGTGGGAGAAGAATAGTTGAGACGGATGGAGTGGGTGGGTGAAGAAATAGTTGAGACGGATGGTGTGGGTGGGGTGAAGAAATAGTTAAGAAGGATGGTGTGGGTGGGTGAAAAATTAGTTGAGACGGATGGAGTGGGTGGAGAAGAATAGTTGAGAAGGATGGTGTGGGTGGAAGAAGAATAGTTGAGAAGGATGGTGTGGGTGGGAGAAGAATAGTTGAGAGAGGTGGTGTGGGTGGGTGACGAATTAGTTGAGAAGGATAGTGTGGATGGAGAAGAAATAGTTGAGAAGGATGGTGAGGGTGGGTGAAGAACTAGTTGAGAAGGATGGTACGGATGGAGAAGAAATAGTTGAGAAAGATGGTGACGGTGGGTGAAGAATTAGTTGAGAAGGATGGTGTGGATGGAGAAGAAATAGTTGAGACGGATGGTGTGGGTGGAGAAGAATTAGTTGAGAAGGATGGTGTGGGTGGAGTAAATAATTAGTTGACACGGGTGGTATGGGTGGAGAAGAAATAGCTTAGACAGGTGGTATATGGGTGGGTGAGGGATTGGCTCGGCAGTCTGGGATAAAGGCGTGTTCTGCACACTGAGCCAACAACTGCGGCAGGAAGTATAGCCTATATCCGTTTGATATTAAGTACATAAATAGAAGCGGCGTTCTTAGGTTACTACATACATACTGTCACTTTGACCGTTTCTACAATCAATACAGTCTGGCTGCGTTGATTTGCTGATTCAGTCGTTCATGTCGCGTGTCACCGTGTGCGTCCTCACACCACAACCACCTGCGCCCATCATCGATGACTGAACCTGCCATACTCCTGTGGATAATCATAACTGTAAAAAGAACAATAACAAACAAGTTCCCATTATACATTATATTGCCAGACAGCTACTTAAATACACTCCATGTCATCGATCCCAATTGCGCGGATCAAAGTTCATGATGTCAATCACTGGATTGTCTGGTCCAGACTCGATTATTTACAGACCGCTGCCATATAGCTGGAATAGTGCGGCGTTAAATAACAAGCAAACAAACTTAAATACACTCACTAACTCATATTTAACAGTATCGATATCACATTAAAGTTTGTCATACATCCAATTTACATACCGTTCATATACCGGAAGTAACAATTTAGAATTCCTGCACCAATTTCCCCAAACTTATCAATTCAAAGCGATATGAATTCCTTTCACAAAGTAAATCTCAGAAACCATACTTTGACCTTTAAGGTTTAACGTTTTCATTGAAAGCAGGTGCCGGTCTCGGACAGGTGCTTGAGTCAGTATGACCTCTGACATTTTACCGATCAATTCCTACGCCGAATGGTGGGATATATTGAGGAATACGGAGTTCATGTGTTATGTCTATAACCCGGTCTAGACAACCCAATCTTTGACATCGTTCCAACTGCTGATGTACTTGAATGTGCCAGTGGCAAACTTTACGATATACCTTCCATCAGCGTTTTCATCGGGACTATATCAACACTTTCTAGGCTGGGAAATAGCGTTCGATTTGACTTGCGTTGCTCAAATCAAATATCATGATCGATGTTCGAGATACGCCAGCATGATCTCCGTGGATTGCGTAAAGACGGTGCATCATCGATGCCAGTGAAACTCGTATCTCAGTTGTAAAGGGTTAATATTTCACACCTGGAAATCTGTCCTATGATCGCTGCTGGAGGCGGTTCCAGTCGCCCTGTGTGTCAGCGTCACTCAATCAGTCTGGAGAGACGGATCACCGACACATGTCACTGTCGTGTACATACCGGGCCGCTATGTCTGTCAGGTACTCAAGGCGCGCCACGCACAGCTTGCTGCTGCTGAGAACGATGGATTGGACCGTGCCTCAAATTCGTTCGATCGCTTTAATTGTTACCCGGGTGTCTCCATAAGTCTTATATCGATTCCTTGGAATGAAGGAACTTCCAAGAAACGAACAACCGAAAACAAGAAGCCGAAGTCAGTACGCAATGGTATCACCAGAATGTGCCAAGCAATACATAATTATAACCTAGGCGTTTCCTTTGAATGAAATTGAAGGCAGACATTTACAAGTACTGCAAAATATATGCATGTACATTCAGCTGTAAAAATGAGAGTTCAAAACGTAAACATCGTGTGTCAGGGACAGGCGCCATTGAAAACAATTATATATTATTTTATTTATTACTTGCCCTGATTCTCATTGAGTCAGTTTATACGAATGTGAGATGGCATTTCGATGTAGATGTATCAGACCCGCCTTCTCGTGCTTCCTCCAGTCAAGTGATGGATATGAATCAGCTAGTCCTAGTTCATCTTATGTTGGCAACCTACCCTTGACTGACGCCTTCTCCCCTCCAGACAAACATGTCGGAACGCCCGTGCTCCAAGAACTACCGGAACATGCTGTTATCAGGGCGTATAGTCGGTCGAGCTGTATCCAACATCTCCTGTAGGTTTGACGCTGGTTGTATATACTGGCAACTGCATGTGCTTTATAACAAAATAACTATTAGTTACACTGGTGAAAATACACAATGAACGCCTAGCTTGTTTTATTGATAAGTTAATCTGACATAACGTGATGTGATTGTCACATTCTGGGTTGTAATTTGGCAAGGAAAGGAGGGACAAGGGTTTGGCAGAATCAAACCTTAGATGAGCGCTTAGTCTCTGAAAATATATGCTTTTGATAGAAGGAAATAAAGCTATTTAAATTGGAAAGTACCCTCAGTGAGATGGGAGATTCAGAACCTGTGGAAAAATCTAGACTTGCTTCATTTAGGGTTATAGCATTAGGGCTGGGGGAGGGGAGGGGGTATAATAAACGATATGCTATATGCTAGGAGACCCGTGAAGATCCGGGGTAGAATAGGTCTTCAGCAACCCATGCTTTCCGCGAAAGGCGACTGTGCTTGTCGTAAGAGGACTAACGGGATCGGGTGGTCAGGCTCGCTGACTTGGTTGATGCATGTCATCGTATCCCAATTGCGTGGATCGATGCTCATGATATCAATCACTGGATTGTCTGGTCCAGACTCGATCATCTACAGACCGCTGTCATATAGCTGGAATGTTGCTGAGTGCGGCGTTAACCATCAAACAAATAAAACATGCTAGGGCGTGTTTGTCTGAAGAAGAAGAAGAAGAAGAAGACATACAAACACCCAGGGGGGTGGGGGGCAGGGTACAAAGCATGAACATGACTAGTTATAATGGAAACGTATAAACATTGATATACACAATGGAATACAAATGATTAAGGTCTAGAGGGGAGATGCAGATTTTCTTTGCATGAACATTTTATTGCAGAAGTCACTGGTGGATTTAGTAGTATTTTAAGCTGGAATAAGTACGGCGTTAAACAACAACAAAAACACACACAAAACAGACCTGCCCCTATATACCGTGCGAAGTAGGCCTGTCCTTATATGCCGTGTGGAAGAGACATATACCCAGGGTTACACGAACCATACACCGTGCTTCCTCACCAGACATTACCATCCGTGTGCACCAGATGCCAATAATGGTGGACCCATCAATCGTCTTCGGCCATTCTTGACCACTAATGGTCTGTTATTTCCGGCCGTCTGGTCGGCTGGTCATCCGAGTTGGACATTTTCCCTTTCTGTCAATGGCCGTCTGGATTTGTAACCATGATTAAGGAGGACAGGGGATATAGATTTTCGTAATTTGGAAAATCTGGAGTAATGATTTCTGTAAGGTATTAAGATTATGGTTGTGGTATTAAAAGTATAAATAACCAATGCGTGTCGTAAAAGGCAACAATGCTTGTGGTAAGAGGCGACTAACGGAATCGGGTTGTCAGGCTCGCTGACTTGGTTGATGCATGTCACCGTATCCCAATTGCGTGGATTGATGCTCATGATATCAATCACAGGATTATCTGGTCCAGACTCAATTATTTACAGACCGCCGTCATATAACTGGAATATTGCTGAGTGTGGCGTTAAACAACAAACAACTAAAAGACAGTTCTTGTACACATTGACCCTGTTGGACCTTACTATCTCTTTGAAAGGACCATTGACCTACAGTCTGGCCATCTTGTTTGTGACCTGGAACGGACTGTCGGCCGTCTCCATCACGTCTCGACATCAATAGTCTGCGAGTACGGTAAAATAGTTCATCGACATATTGATTCCACGACTGCAATTAGTAAGGCTTCATCCGGCGCCATGAACCTCTAGTATCGCGACAAATAACACATAGTCTGAGATCAGCTGTCTCGTAAAGTCTCGCGAGATGTCCCGTGAGACGTGAACTTTATCACGTCAGGCTTGCCAAGGTCATAACAGAATGAGGTAAGAATGGCCCGCAGTCGAATGTCTCGAGGTAACCTGGCTTCAACCATAGAACGACATTACTCATGAAGAAATTTGATGCAACACAAAATACCAGTTGAAACTAGTAAAATAGGGGCTGTGGTGCATAGTTCATACACGTTTAAAGTGTCATCGTATCCCGCCGTGTCATTGCGTAGATTGATGCTCATGATGTCAGACGCGATTATTTACAGAACGCCGTCATACAGTGGAATATTCATTGCTGACGGGGCAGTTCAGTTCAATTTCGATTCCCAAAAGAAGTTAAAGGACACCCGATTCTTTTACATGACTATAACTACAGATTAACTATAGTAGTGGGGGAGTATGGTTTTACGCCGCTTTTAGCAATATTCAAGCAATATTTACGGCGGGGAACACCAGAAATGGGCTTCACACATTGTAAACATGTCGGGAATCAAACACGGGTCTTCGGCGTGACGAGCGAACACCTTAACCACTAGGCGAGCTGACCGCGCCAATAACTATAGTTATATGAAAGAATCGGATATTCTGTAATGTCTTTTGAATATACATAAAGCCGCGTGGTCCTTTGCTGTGATATAACTGTACACATGATCCAAATATACTGATGGCAATGAGTAAAGAAACGCTTAGTAATACGCACAGTTAAATGATATCCAGACTTGTCTACCAAATACGCGTTGGAAAGAATGCACACCAACACATCTCAACATTTGATTCTGACATGTGTTTAATTTGTAGGCGCGCTATTTTTAAATGTACCGACAGTAAAGCTTATTTCCCCATATTTTTTCATTGTTCCCTTGTTCGTTTCCATCAGTGTAATCTGTTGTTTTCGGAATGCACTCTTGTCAAGGTAGTTCCGTTTGTACGTAGCCCTGTATGGCAATGTCAAGGTCAAGGTCGTGTTGAGACAAGATCAACGCGCGTCGCATACGAAAAAGTGGCTTCTTGTTTTCTGAAGGATGTGTTTTGTACATCAGTTTCTTTGCGCGCTCTGCGTGTGTTCTCCTGTTTCTGTATTTAACTAACTCGGTCTGTTTGTTTGTTTGTTGTTTAACGCCGCAATATTCCATCTATAAACGGCGGTCTGTAAATAATCGAGTCTGGACCAAACAATCCAGTTTTTGACATCATGAGCATCTATCTACGCAGTTGGGATACAGGATTTTCATCAACCAAGCCCGACCACCCGATCCCGTTAGGCGCCTCTTACGACAAGCATAGTCACCTATAACGGCAAGCATGGGTTGTTGAGGACATATTCTAACCCGGTCTTCACAGGTCTAACTTGTTCTGCCGAAGATAATGATGGAGTTACGATAAAAAAGGAGCTATTGCCTAAAAGGACTGGTCGGCTTGGAGTCAGTATACTGTCTCGATGGGGTACCCGTGTTAAGCTGCGGCATGGTGCGGCATACCCCACTCAGACACAGTTTCCTGACTCTGAGCGGACCAGTCCTTCTGTTAGACCCTTAATGCCGAGCGCCAGACAGGGTAACAACAAGTACCATCCTTTAACGTCTTTTGGTATGACGCGCCCGGGGCTCTACCACTAGACCATGGAGACGTCTAATAAAATACCACAAAACAGATATGTTAAAATAAGTGATTGGGGTCTTTTTACGATGCTTAATATCACGTGTCAGCTTGATGTTGGAGGAAAGCCCGAAGTAATGCAAGTCTTAGACGTAAAACCATTTTGATGAAGCCAAGTTCGGGAATTTGTCTAAAATTGATGCTAGTATGTTTCCCAGAAACTTCAGAATAAATATAAAAAAATCGAACTCCAAACAAGAATAATTTGGCAAGTCTAGATTGCCTCAGGTCGATTAAACATTGTTCTAGTCTCCATTTGGATTCTATTTTGTAGACATATATTTTAAAATAAGATAACTATATTTCTGGAACTATAAATGTTAGTCTAATTTGATGTCATTACTTATTAGAATTAAAAGGTATTTGAACTACAATTAAATT